TAGCCATAATCGTCCAACTCTCATAGTGAAATGGAATAACTGGACATCAAAATTAATTGTTTTTATTATTGGAATCATGACAACTAGCTACCTTTTCTTTCTACCTCTGTTTTCCAACAAGTCTCACTTTCTTTTAGAACAAATAAAAAACCTTGGAGATCAAAATAAATATTAGCATAAATTTTAAATCTTAGATCAAATTTATTATTTTTTGTGTTTTGTAGTTTAGTTCCCCTTCTTTTAATTTAGCAATTCTACAATAATTGCAACCCTAATTCCATTTAATTAAGTAATTGAAGGTTGTAATTAAAAGAAGAAAAGGTGGAAAAAAAAGTTGCTTTAATGTTCATTCCCAGTGAAACATTATTAAATACCTTTTTTAGGGTTTTTTTTGGGAGCCTAGTTGAATTGATTTTTTTTATTAAATTTTATTTTTTATTTTGAATTAATTTTTTTAAATATTTATAGAATATGTTACATAAGTTTTTTAAAAAATTATTTTAATATATTTTTAAATTAAAAAAAAACCTTTTAAAAAAATCTTTACTCCACCCAATAATAAACAAAAAATGTTAGGCAGGTAAAAGATTACATTATTGGTCGGTTTTATAGCCTATTTGACTACGCGCTATCGTTTGCATTTCTTTAAAAACATATGAAATGGTCGTTTTGTTACAAATGGTTAAACAATCAAAACACATGGGTCCTATCATTTATATGCGACAGGTATATGGTGGGATCATAATTTTTTAGAAGCAGTAAAATACAACTTTTTTACGAGAGTTTCAACATGTGATAGGTATACTGTTTAGTGAATTGCATTGTTCAAGTGCACAGTTGTTTTCTTTTTTAAGTGTGTTAATTTTTTTAACATTTTTTTTTGAAAAATCTAATTTAAAGTAAATAAAATTTACTCGTATTATGATATGAACAATATTTTTTCTCTCGAAAAACTAGTATAGAGTAAATTAAATTTACTCGTACTGTAATATCAATTTTATACCTGATAATATTTTATTTAATTTTATTATACGATCACAAAATTATAAAAATTATAGTTCTTATCGACTGAATTTTATATATAATGAAATTATAAATAATTTAATGGAATAATAAAAAAATATTTTATATCAAGTATTATTTATTTCATGATGTAATAAAAGTAGTTAATTCTATAATATTTAAATTTAAAATCATCAATATTAATATATATATTTTAAAATTATTTTATAATCTCAATTTCAAAAATAAAATTAACCAAATATATTAAATTATTTTTTAAAAAAAATTAATTTTAATTACAATTTTAATCAAATATCTATTTTTTCAAATCAATTTCAACTAAAAATATTTTTATAAAATAATTTTTTACAAATTATAATCATAACAGCTACCTACCGTAAATATAAACTTTACTTTTTATATATATAGTTTTTTCCCTGACATTATCATCTTTTTTTTGTTTTTTATGGATTAACAAAATTACAGATCTCCTACTCCCATTCTCTCCCTTGCTCCAGAAAAGAGATTGTGAGAGAGGATTGCTGTATTCCGAGAATCTCACAAGTAAGTATTTTGCTTTTTGAGTTTGTATTTTGAGCCATGAAGCTCAATTGCTAGGTGAATTTGTTTGCTATTCATGGGTTCTTGTCTTTAGTCTCTTTCTGGTTGAGATTTGCTGAGATTTCTTGTATAGATACATGTGAAAAGGGTAGATCTTAGTCTTTTTCCCAGGTTTTAGGGTGTAGAGCTCAAAAGAATCTAGAATTTGTTAATTAATTTGGGTTGAATTCAGGGGTATTTGGGTAATGTTTAGAGTAAGAAGTTACGGATGATGAAACTTCTGGTACAGTGATAGGAATTAAGTTCATTAGTTGAACCATGCAGATCTAGGAGAGGAGAGAAGGAATTAGACCAATCAACCAGATCCACTCTGTTTCCTTCTTTACATTTTTATAAGTGGGTAAGTGTGATAAATTGTATGTGGCTCAAGCCTTCCACAGTAAATAAATCCATGGGTATCCCTCAAATTTATTCAGATGGGAAGCTTCCCTGAATATAAATTTTGCAATACAATATAGAATTCAAGTGTTTGATGGAATATGTAAGGTAAACGGGTGAGGTAGGTGTAGTGTTTGGAGAAAAGACTGATCCAAGAATGGATTCAGTCCGGAAAGAGAAGGAAAAAAGAAATATAAAAGAGAAGCTTGAAATCAAATCTTGAAATGGCTACAAATAGGTGCAATTTGGTCAGGAATTCTTAGACTTACAAGCGTAAACGATTTTATCCTTAAACAACCCATCACCTATAGGCGCTTTCACAAGCCCATCTCTTTTCTGCCTCCTGTGTTGTGATCAATGAGTTTTAGCAAGCCACAGATCCTCTGGTTGATGGATCTCTACTATGATTTTTTGATCTTTTGCTTGAAACATGATGCCCTAATTTTACATTTGGGATGTTAGATGTGTATCTGAGTTTGGCACTACCATGGCACGGTAGATGCTTCATGAATGCTCTGCAACAGCATTAAGTTGCAGCGGCATTTGGGACAAAACCAGAATAAGTGGCCTTCATTTTTTGAATCAACTAAGTTGGTTTATGGGCTTTTGATTGTTATAGGTCATGTGGCATGTATGATGAAGGGGAACCCCACCCCTTCCTTCCGTTCCCTCTGAAAAAAAACACTGCAAGTAGTTGGTCATTGTTTTCATGCTGATAATTCTTTTAGTTTAACTTTCTAGATTTGTTTCTGGATCTAAAGCAGTTTCATTTTTTAACTTTACAGGGGAATGGACAAACATTTATAGGGGAATGGACAAACATACCAGATTCCTCTCTCTCTCGTTGCGGCGCTGGCTACCTTTTATCCAGTTGACATATGGAACTCTCTCCGTTTAGAACACCCGATGCTATCATAACCATATTCTTTGTTACTGTGCTCGTTCATGTTGCATGGAGTGCATGTGAAGTTAAGCTTGAAGCTGCTCACTTCAAATCAATTGCTGCCCACACCACTTGTCTATAATTCTTGCCCTTGTTATTCTAATCATAGTCCTTGACCTAGCAATTGGGTGGTCATTTTTTTCTTATTAGTCTTGTTTGTTGTTTATATGGGCTTATGTGAGGAATTGTTATAATTGCATGAATTGTTGTATAATGCAGTGAATTGTTGTATAATGCAGTTCTGCAAGCATATAGGGGCTTATCCAATGTAATTCTGCAAGCATATGGTTTTTCCAATGTAGTTATTGAAGTATATGTAGATCATGGCATGATAGAAGAGTTAAATGTTGAGTTAACTAGGTCACTTGTGTAACCTGATGGAGCCATTGAAGAGAATCATTTGTTGGTGTCTCATTGGATTTGTTACCAGACAGTGTTTATCTAGTAAATGATTCTCTTCAATGGCTCGGTAAGGTTACACAAGCGACCTAGTTGACTCAGCTTCTGCCATGCTATGATCTGTATATACTTGAATAACTACATTATAAAGACCATATAGACAGTGTTTATCTAGCAAATGATTCTCTTCAATGGCTCGGTCGGGTTACACAAGCAACCTAGTTGGCTTAGTATTTATCGCTTCTGTCATGCTATGACCTATATATACTTGAGTAACTGTATTATAAAGACCATATACTTGGAGAACTACATTGCAAAGATCCCTATATGCTAGAACCGCATCGTAAAGACCCATAAGCTTGGAGAATTGCCTTCTATAATGATTCATACAATTATGCTCATTCCTCGTGTAAAGTATATGCTACCCATATAAACAATAAGACCCATGAGAAAAAAAAGTAACCACTTAAGTAAAGGATTATGATTAGCTGGCTAGACAATTAGTGCGGGCAGCAATTGATTCTCATAAGTAACCACTCAATTATTAGGTAAAGGATTATGATTAGCTGGCTAGACAATTAGTGCGGGCAGCAATTGAATGCTATAGATATACACATGAAATTAGAGTATGTAAACCCTTTTTGTGGTCCTAGTTTTTTTTTTTTTTTTTTTGAAATCTCATATCTGTATATGGTTGGTGGTAATAAAAATACCAAAAGATATGGACCGCTACCAAAATATTATGTAATATGTATAGATATGGTTGCTTGGTGTGAATGAAATTACATATGCTATTTTGACAAGTATGATTGTAACTTGGTTTTAACAATCGCACCTCTCTTGGTACCTTCAGCTTAAAAAATGGTGTCGTTTATTATTAGATCTGCTAGCCGCGCCACTCTATGGATCTGAGTATCTGAATGTTCGTGCAACATTATTTTCATGGACAAGCATCCTGTGTAAATGTTCAAGATGGAAATCGTTTGTTCAGGGGATGCTTTAGCTTAAACCCTTTTTTTTCTTGAGATCCATGGTTGAACCTGCATGGTTTGAACACAAAAAGCCTAATCACGGCTCATAAGAATGTTCTTAAATTCTGGATTAAAAGAGAAAAACTACTCAATTAGTTCCAGCAGAGAAGAAAACATTTATTTTTTAGCAGCCCAGCCATCCTGGGACCAATTGGTCCTACAATGCAGCGATCCTGTCAGTGTTGATTACCAAGGGGAAAAAAATGCTTTTCTTTTATAACAAGAGAAATAAAAGAGTTTTTTTTTTAATACATACCCTTATAACAAGAGAAATAACTTTTGATGCTTTATAAGACGTAAAAATTTTATGGTAATTAAAAATCAGGAAGGTATTTAAATAAAGCTCAAAAGTTATTTAAGAGTTTTTATATTTTTCTAATTGATTTATAATTTTATTTATTTATTTTACAACTTTTTTCTTTATTATTTAGAATGTTGTTCCTGGTTTGTTAAGGATTTTTATTGCTTTTCTTTTATTTTAAGTTTTCCTTGTTAGTTTGTTGGTTTTTAGATGTATTTAAGAAGTTGTAAACTTACTAAAAAGACAAACTAAATTGAAGAGAGATATTTAATAATAAAATTTTGAATTAGTTTTTATGTGATCTCTATTTTTCAAAATTGTATGTTACTTGTTTTTGTTATCTTTGTTGTGTTGTTTTTATCTATGTAAGTTACTATCAAAACCTAATGATTCTTGATGATTGATTAAAAAAAATTATTTAACTTGAGGTAACTCAGGTCAACCCATCTGAAATGTGGTATCTATACTTATCCTAAATCAACTCTAAAAAAAAAAAGGACAACATAAAATTTTGAATTAAAAGGCAAAATAAAAAAAATCAAATTTACATAAGAATCCAAATTAAAAATGAAAAGAATAAGAATGAGAATAAAATCAAGATTATGGATCCATGTATTAAATTGAAAACAAGTTAAATTTTAATAAAAGGGTTAAGAGTCAAACTTTAAAATCAAAATATTAAGGGTCTAATCTTAAATATCATAAAACTTTAAATTGAAGGATAAAATTAAAAAGACAAATGAAATTAACAAAAGAATCCAAAACAAAAAATCAAAATCAAAAGAATGAAGACAAAGTTTTAAAAAATAAAAAACTAAGATTATGGATTTAAGGATGAAATTGTAATAAAAATAAAATTTGATAAAACGGTTAAGAATCAAAATTTGAAATAAAAACATTGACAGTCTAACATTAAATATCATCAAACTTTGAATTAAAAGGTAAAATTGAAAAAAAAATTAAATTCATAAGATAATCCAAATTAAAAAAAAATTAAGAGAATAGGGACCATACTTGATTAAAAATCAAGATTATGGATCCAATGATGAAATTAAAAACAAATTAAAATTTGATAAAAAGGTTGAGAATCAAAATTTAAAATCAAAACATTAAAAGCTTAATTTTAAATATCATCATATTTAAAAATAATTATGTAAGGTGCCTGAAAATTTATTACATAATTATATTAGGTGACATTTGTGTTACAATCAATAATGATTTATTACTATGGACTACACTTTTATATACTCAAGTATTCATATAATCTTTTTTCTTCATCATCCAATACTATTCATAACAAAAACTTCAGGCATGTTGATATCCATTACTAGTTCATTCCTGCATTTATTTTATAACTAAATTCTTTAAATTCTTTAAATTGTCCAACACTTCCAGCACTAAACCCATCATTCAATGATTTAGTTTTTTCGGTTGCCAATTCAATGAGACTTTAAACCCATATTTAGGTCACAAATCCCATTATCTAGGGAATCAGTATTATTAATCCGCCCAATAGCCATGGATTTAGTTCCTTACTTTGCCAAGTAACCAAAACATTAATCTCTTTAAATAGGGATTAGTTTTCTCAATTTGCTCAGTACACTAATCCCATTAACTATAAATTAGTTTCTATAATTCACCATTCATATCCTTTACATTTAATTATAATATAATTAAAGACATATATAACTATTGATAAAATCACTAATAAATTCCTAGAATGTGCGGAGCACTTATCTAACACATGTACACGTGATATGGTCCGCTGCTCCTATACCAACAAAAGTAATAAATTACTAATCATTCATTTACTATAAGGATCGATTTCATCTTCCATATAAATTTCAATTTCTTACTTATTTGCATTAACACATCCTTGTTCTTGTTATTTATATTGTTTATAGTTGTTTTTTTATTTATTTAAATTTCCTTTTACAAATCAACACAACTTAATATGATTTATGTATCTTTTAATTTAAACAAACTCAATATTCAAACATATGCTTACAGAAATTTCTTGTTTGTAAAATTAGTTAGATATCCTTTTTGATTCTTTATGTTTTTTTTTTAATTTTAAAACAAGTCAACCAATTCAAGTGAAGATATTTCTCCACATTGACAAGGTCAAAACTCAAACCCTTCTTTTTTTGGTAGTCTTGGCCGAAACAATTGGAGAGTATATGGAAGGTTTCTCTTTCTTTCTTTCTTTCTTTCTTTTTTTTAGAAAAATCTCATTCTTTCCTTCCATTTACATTTATATACATGCCATTTAACACAATTTTATTTTTTTTAATTCTCCAATTTTCCCTAATTTCTTCCTATTGGTCGTGTATGTCCATTAAGGATTAGGGATTTGGTTTTTCCATTTTTTTGAAATTAAATAATTACCCAATCTTATTTTATGCTTATAAACATCATTCAATCATAAATAGTATCATTACAACAATTTACATCATAAATCCCCAATTTCATATAATATTAACAATTGCATTTCTTCATCAAATCAATTAATCATATTGGATAGGTCCATTACCTCAATTGAATGATGTTTCAAGGATAGAATGCAAGAAAATTTCAAGTTCTTTTCTCTTCCTTCTAAACCTGAACTTTTAATGTTTCTCTCCAAAATAACCCTACAAACCTTTAAACACTTTTTTTATTCCTAATTATACCTTAATTACAGCTCTCTTTTTATGTAATTTAATAGAAAATGAATAGAAAGAAAAAGAAAAGAGAAGTAAATCCTCCCTCTAAGTATGAAGAAACACTGACCATAAAAGAAGAAATTGGGTAGTTATATACCCAATTTCTTATGATTTGCATATTTACCCCCCACTATTCCATATTTTCTTTTTGGCTCTCTAGATTTTTCCTTCTTACATACTTTATTCAATGAAAATTTTCTTTCATTCAATATTACCCTTCCATGTTAATTAACATATGTTTTAAATCTAACCTGTATTTTATTTATAAATTAGAAAAAATTTCACTTATTATCGCTTGAGTTAGAATTTTATCTCTTTTTACAGAGAAACCTCATTTAAAATAAGTTGTGAGTAAACCTTGGTAATATAGGATAAATCATCCTAAATAAGTCATTTTTCATGGGCCACTATTGCATAAATAAAATAGATAGCGATAAATCCTCATAGGATTTGGGTTAGGTTCAATGAGCCAATTAAAGACCCACGTGATTATTTATTGACATGGTCTGATATACCATTAATAGTCATAAGTTACAATTAGAGTAAATAGTTTATAGATATGTCAATTCACCAAGCAATTAAGAATGACAAATATGACATGGATTTTAAAATGGTTAGGATTCAACTCATGTGTCCTCTCAAGGTTTAACTAATTGTAGTAGAGTCATCTTTACCCATATAGATAGACCATTGGTATTAGGCATGACATTCTATTAAGAATAAAAGAGATGTAGAAACACAACTTATCTTAAGTAAAATGTTTTAAGGTGATAATATCTTTCCTCTAACATAACAAGTAATTTACCTTAAAACTATGAAAAATAGTTAGGGTTTCTAATAATCATAATACTATGTGGCAACTTCTTTTCATAACATAAGACCTTTACCCCCATTAAACATATAAGCCTTTTTCTTTTAAAAAAAAAAGGATGGGTTGTCATGATGTCTGGTGTGATATTATTCATACATTTTGAAAAGATAGTTTGAAACTTTTCTTGATCTAAAAATATAGAAATGAATTTATGCATTAACCTTTATATTATTAAAAAAAAATCAAGATTTTGATTCATTCAAAAGTAAGGAATATATATAAAAATATAAATATAAATATATATAATAGGTTATTAATTTATCACAACTAAATATCATTTTCTTTTAGTGTTAATGAACCAACTTTTGAGAAGTAAACTATAAATAAAAAAAATTAACATACTTGGCTATCATGACATTTTATCTTGGAAGCTTGTAATGACCAAACTTATTGTGATGTCCTTTTTGCTTACTTTATTTATGAATTTATAACTTTATTGATAATAGGATGCAAATGCTTCAAATAAAATAATTCACATTGAAACCCTCTATTTAAATATTACCTTTCTATTTTTAGTTTTAGAATCTCATTAGGTTGTTCTTGAGTATATTTCACAATCTTGATTATCTTGTCACCTATCTCTGAAAAACATGCACATCAGGCTTGCCTGGTAGTATATATAAAGACATCGAAATGATGGTTTTAGCCATTAAATGTAGGTAGGTTAACTAATCTATTGGTCATAACAAAAGTCTCTCACTATCCCAATAAAAAAATTTTAAAAGGTTAATCCAATACCTATAAGGCATAACAAGTATAAACTAGGGAAAATTCATATTGACTACAAATAATAATTTGGCAATACAATTTTCAAACCCAAAATGATATGTAATTTGTACTAAATTTGGTAGTACATTTTTTATCATTTTTTTTAGAGGAAAAGCTTCAATTTTAAGTTGATTTTATATTAGTTTTTGCTTGGATTTTTGGTTAATTAAAACT